GGGGGGGGCAGCGCAGTGCAGGGGTCGGCGGCGTGGGTCGGTAGCTGGGCGTAGGTGTGGGCGCAATTGCGTTTTTGAAAACGGAAGGTAGGGGAGTGGCGGAGGGCTGAGGGGTTGGGGGGGGAGGCAAAGGAACCGGTGTGCATAGCAAGGGCGCTCCGAGGGGATGAGGGGGTGAGCGGAATGCGCGTCCTCGTCACAGCAGAAGGGCCCGGAAGGCGGGGGACACGCGCTCGCAGCGAGCATCGGCACGTCCAGCCGTCCCCATGCTCGGGTGTCAACAGTAGCACGACCACAGTATTTGGCAGCGGCGCCTTGACGACAAGAGGAACGGTAACCTAAAAGGAAATAGGTTATGTAACGATGACACTCACGGAACGTGACGTTGTAGTTAGACTTGGCGAAGGACTTGATCTCGGAGTTGCTGCCGGGGTCCTGGGCGCCAAACTGCAGGAGAGCCAGGGCGCCAGTACAGGAAATGTCAGTGGCATTCACCCCCAGATCAGCCGCCCAGGCAGCGCCCGTGGTGCGTCTGCGCTCTACAGGTGCGGCGGGTGCGCCGCAGGGTCGACACTAGCAGTTGGCATCCGGAATGCTGGGAGGTGTACTCTGCACCCGGCCAGGATTGAAACCAGCACCCTTTATCGCCCTTTTCCTGATGCCCGACCTGCTGCCAGCCTGCCCGTCCCGCAATCTATACACGGCTTTGGTGACAGGCATTGCCAGATCCCTGATTTCGCCGGGCCTCCATCCACCGTTGACCGGGTCAACCACCATCCTGCTCGCACCACCCTGCTCGCCCCCCCAGGCTGTGCCCACCTGGTTGCAGGGGAAGCCCAGCACCACGAAGCCCTTGTTCTTGTACTTGTCGTAGACGCCCTGCAGCTCGGCAAACTGGGGGGTGAACCCGCAGGCGCTGGCGGTGTTGACGACCAGCACCACCTGGGGGCATGAGGGGGTGGGTGCACACAGGATGGGTGGAGACAGGTCAGCAGCGTGCGGCGGCATCATGGCGGGCACCGCAGCGAGCGCGTGCTGAGAGGCTGGCAGTGTGGCCTGGCAGTCCAAGTGAGCCATCCGGTTGGTGTAGTTGAAATTATTGGGTGTCGATCTAGTCCGCACCTTGCCCTTGTACTGGGAGAGGTTCACGTCCTTGCCCTCGATGGACTGGGGGGGAGGGGGGGGGAGTGATCGAGGCATGGACACGGTAAGTGTGCGTGCATTGGTACGGACCAGGGTACGCAGCAGGCTTTTTGCCAGTCAGTACGCCGTTCTGGTGATGGCCTAGGCGTTCGTGTTGTTGCCAGCAACCCGGGGCCGGCCACAGCGGCAGGGTCTGGCCTGTGACGGCGGCCATCCCACCTGTGACAGGCCTTGGCCTCGTCGCTCATGCCCCACCTGTGCTGCTGCGGGCCGCGATCAATGCGATATACACCCACCTTGACCTTGTAGCTGTAGAAGCCCTCCTCGGTCGTCGGCTTAGTGAAGAGACCCCCCAGGATCGCGTTGCAGGCCACGGCCGGCTTACGGCTGCCGAAGCTGCCACGAGCAACTGTGTTGCGCGCAAAAGCGCGGGGGGCGACCTGTGCGCTGATCATTGCTGCTGTGTGAAGGCTGGTTTGTGGTGGTGTGCGACTGATGACTGACGTGCTTGTGTAAGCTAGCTTCGTACAGTGTTGAATCGTATCGCACATGTACAAAACATGCCAATGGGTGGTAGGCGGGCAGGCATGGCGCAACACAGGAACATCGCATTGTGTGGTGCTGTCCACCACCCAACACACAGCTCGATGCCCACACACAAGCTGCCACATGAGCACAGCGCAATGCTATGCCGCACAAGTACACTGATTGCGCACCCAAAAACGGCATACGCAGCAACATCACAGCAGCCTGCTGCCAGCTGCGGGCTGGCTTGGTCCTTCGTCGGTTGCTCGACTGCTGTGGCCAAACAACTGCCAAACCTGCTTGCTCAGGCGCCTGCGTCTTCCAACTGCGCGCACGCGCATTTTTATAAGTCTCTGCTGCATGTGGCGTATCTATGAGCACGATGCCAAGTCTGTACAGAGGACGGCGCGCCAAATTCACCAGCGCACATGCTCTGGCTGTAGGTAGGGCTGGGGGGGCAAGGGGGTGGGACTGCGTGCCTGGGTGGACTGCGCTGCTTTTTGAGCGTCGGCACCCATCTCATTTCGCTCTCATGCGGCTCGATCCCCATAGAGGACCGGCTTGCGAAGCGGCGCTCCTGACGAGGCGTGGCGGGCTTCATGGCGCATGAATGGCGTCGCCATTCGTGGCCTGACGTCGAGCGCCCTGCAATCAGACGAGGGGGCTGTTCCAGAGCAGATGAAACTGCAATTGGCACACGAGCCCTGCCGTATTCGATGAGGTGCTCATCTGTCCCCAGGCTTTGCAAATGCAGTTTTGAACACCCACAACTGGATATTCCCAGGCACACCGCATATTGGCCCCCACCTTGCGCATGTGCCAAGCCCTGGCAGAGCCATGGCAGAGCCTCAAATACTCGGCCACTCATTCTTTATTGTAAGGGAGAAGCTCGAGACATTTACAATGGTGAAGTTGACCGCTCGCGCGGATGCAGTCCCCATGCAGCTGTGGGAAATGAATTGATAATGCTGTAATGTGGCAGAACGTCTTCAAAAGCACAAGGACAGTCGAGGGGAGGCCCCTGCTAAAGGGGTCGTCGCACAAGGGCACCAAAAACACAGAAGCTAAACAGAAGCACAACAGAAACTCCCAAGAAGTGAAAGCAGCGCGGCCCACCAAAGCAATACCAAGGCGTCGCGCTCATGCCGCCCGCGCCGCCGCCTCCCTCTCCCCGTCTCGCCGCCGCCCGCCCGCGCCCGCGCCGCCCCCGCCACCGAGGCCACCGTCCGCCCCAGCGCCGTTGCCGTCGCCAATGCCGTTCCCGTTGCCGTTCCCGCTTTCGCGGCCGCCTGCGGCCAGCGTCAGCGCGAGCAGCCGCTCCGCGCTCGCCACCGCCGCCGCGCCGTGACGCCCCGCCGCCGCCGCGTCGCGCAGCAGCCGCCGCACGGTCCCGACGGCCGCCACGTTGGTGCCCGCGCCGCGCCCGGTTGCCGTCGCGGCGCCGACCGCGTTGGCGAGGACAAGGGTGCCGGGGATGTCGTGGTTGTTTACGTAACCGGCCACGATGGCGGCCGCGAATGAGTCGCCGCAGCCCACAGTGTCCACCACCTCGACCTGCGTCAAGGTCGGCAATAGATGTTGATTGCAGGTTCAAGGGAGAAAGCGGGACTGGACAAACAGTGGATGCGTGCATGTGGTACGAGCGTGCGCTCAAGCAAATAAACTTGGTTGCACGCATGTGCAGGTGTGCAGGTGGTGCAACTGACACCTTCATTGATTGGGCATGTGCACGCACATGCTACCCTGCCAGGCAAGCACACATGCTCGTGCCCAAGCACACGCATGCAGTTACACATTCAACACACACGCACACACACACGCACACACACACACATACACAGCAGATGGGCAGGCAGGCGTGTACACAGCCGCCCGGCCCCTCGCACCTGCATCGCAGGGCACTGATGCGCCTCCACGCCGCCGCCGGGCCGCCGCTCTGCCAGCAGTGCCCCCGCACCGCCCTCCTTGACAACACACCAGCGCGTCTTGGCGCCCGGTCGCGCCAGCACCGCGCGGGCAGCGGCCAACGGGTCGGTCTCCCCGGTCACCTCCACGGCCTCCTCCTGCAAAGCAAGGGCGCAGGAGGAATGACGCACGATGGTGTCACAAATGCGTGAGGAGCCCCAGGGCCGATGGCACTGCGTGCGAGAAAACCGTACTGCCTCGCGCTGAACACCTTGCCTCAACTGGCCGACCCGGCAGCAGTCCAGGGCATCTCGAGCCCGTCTTCCCACCAAGCCCAGCCCAGCCCAGCCCAGCCCAGCCCAGCCCAAACCCAGCCTGTGCTGTGCATGCCGTAAAAGCAATGGGGGCAAGACCCACCAGCGTCATGAGGATCGTGTCTGACAGGTCCATCATGGTGTGCAGCGCCTCCAGCCGGCTGCCGCTCTTCATCGTGTGGCAGCGAGGCCCTGCGCCGGCGGCACACGATTGGCAACGGCACGAGGCGGGAGCGGTGAGGCCCGGAGCACGAACTCTTGGCGCTGTGTGTCGGCGCTGTGTGTTGAGCAGAGGCATCAAGACGCTCAGGGAGGAGAGGCCTGCACACACAGCCGAGCAGCTGTCGAGTCCCGCGGCAGATAAGCCTTGCGCGACGCGGCGCACCAGGGTCGAAGAAGACGGCCGCGCCTGCGCTGCTGGCTGCGTTGACCGCCTGCTTGACCAGCTCCAGGGGCAGCTCGTCGAATATGTAGCCGTTGGCGCACACTGCACGCGCGCCTGCCAGAGCCTGGTGACACACACACACACACACACACACACACACACACACACAAAGTGGGCGTTTAGACATTGGCGTCATGCAACGTAGGGCTGGTTGAAGAAGCGGAGGGGCTTCATCTACACCTTCCTGCGCGCCAGCGACACAGCAGAATTCGCGCTGCTAAAGCAGCTTGGCATCCCAAGAGCATGGCTGCGGCGCAGCGCCCACCTGCAGTATGCGGGGCGGCAGCTGCTCCACGCCCTCCAGCAGCGGCCAGGGGCCAAAGTCATACCTACCCGGTGGGGGCGCGACGTCAGCAATGGGCCAAACGGGGCCAGAGTGGGCGGATACCACCGGTGCATGCAAATTTGACTCACGCCCAGCCGCTGCCCTTTTCGCGTGTTGCGGAACGCGCATGGTCCTCACGAGCGAGAAAGCCGCACACTCGCGCCTGAAAGGTATGTGAGCGCACCCTCCCAAAACCCCGATGCGCGCCGTGGCAGGTGCAACCGCTGCCTCACCGGCTGCAGAACGCGTGGCCGCCAGCAGGGTCCACCAATACGAAGCAGACGAGGGTTTGGTCCAGGGAGGTGCCCGCCAGCTCCGGCGGCGCGATGCGATGGATGCTGCCCAGGCCCTCGCCCTGCGCGCGAGCAGGTGCGGCCACCAATGGCCGTGCGGTTTCAGGGCCCGCCGCTGTGCAAACGGCCGTGCCTTGCTGGAGCGGGCGCAGTTTGCGCTGTGCCTGCGCCCCGGCCGCCCGGCAGTCGCGGCGCAGCGCTGCGACTCAGGCTGGGCGCCTGCCCGGGCAACAAGTCGCTGTGGCGCCACCGCGCCGTAGTATCCAATCACGCAGTCCCTAAATGGTACCTGCGCTGCCTCCCCCCCCCCCCCC